CGACCTAATTCATTTGGCTCAAGACTATCGTAGCCCAATACCTGCATACGCAGCCATAGAAAAGGTGTGCAGCTGCCGCTCGCACACCGTCGATCTTCGTGGCCTCACTTGGCGTATTCGATCAGGTCCAGTAAAGCTACTGCCACTTTTGGGGGAACTTACCCCTCACCCCCCCCGTGGGTTCAACTCCCCCTGGGACGCCTCTGGGACACCTCTCGGGCACCTCTTATGGCATCCACTTGGTTTAACTCCTCCGGGATACGGTGCAACAGATTCAACAAGCTCACAGGTTCATGACATCGACATTGATAGAAGAAACCAAGCAAATCATGCAAGCAGCTTTGTTTTGCCTCTGGGACACCTCTTGGGCACCTCTTATGGCATCCACTTTGGTTCAACTCCGCCGTGGAGGTCTTGGGATACGGTGCAACAGATTCAACAAGCTCACAGGTTCGTAAACACATCGGATGCATCGAATAATGTGGCAAAGTCCAGCCACGCTTCCTTAATTATCGGAGACTTCAATTCTAAGGTTGGCTGTGTCATTGCTGTTTGTGTGTCTTACATATTCACAACGTTTTACCTCATGAGCGTTTGCCTCAATCCGCTTGATGTCCCACCAGTCCGGATGCACCCCTGCTAGCTTTCGTCACCTACCCTCGGCCTCAAGTTCATTGCCCGACATCTGTTTCACTCTCTGTCTCACCCATGCATGTACATTCAAGTGTATTTTCAAGAGTCTCCTGCGTCGGGTTCTCTCTGTGGTCTTTTGTTTGGTTGTTGGTTGGGCGTGTTTTGGTTTTGTTTTGGCCCTTTTTCACTAAGGAGACTCTTCCAAATACTGCACAAGCTGACCTTTGCATTTCCTGCATGAATGGCGGCTCGACTCGTGCAAAAAAGTAGTAGGCTGGGGCTTCCATTTATGACCCCTTTGAAGGTGCTGGTATGTACATATATATATATATATATACAGGATACAGCAGGATGTAACATCGTGCAACATCATGCAACATCATGTCACTATTCCAGTCCCATGGATGGTCCGGGGTAGACTGTTGATGAACCAAGACATTTTGGGGCATGGTGAAAGGCCTGATCCCGGACTTCACAGAGGAGTGAGTAGCTTTTCTTCGTGGTCGGGACTGGACAGACTGGTCGCCAGCACGGAGGTTCGATGTGCCGCATCGCCCGCCCGGTGCACGCTTTACGGTGAAAACGGCCCGACTCATGGGCCCGAACCAGACCCTAGGGCTCCAGTCGTACCTCCTCAGATGGTATGACTGGCCCTCCAAACCCGCCTGAAACACCTTCTTAGAAGACATTTGGAGCCGGGATAGGGATTGGTGAGAAGGTCCAGAGCAACCTGACCCCTTCGGAGCCTCGTGTTCCGACCCCGTCCAGGAGTGTTTGGCAGATTCGATCCATTTTGGACCACTTGTCCAACCAACTTCCAGGGGTTTTCATGGTCTGATCAAAACTAGAATATCAAAGATGCCCTCCGTTGCACCATGTGGCACCCCTAAGGATTTCGGACATGATGCCCCGGAAGGGATGCCCCATGCAGCAGAAAGCGAGTCGCACCACTTTGTTCACTGATGATAGGTGCATTCTCCTGCTGGAGCTCTTCACAGGAACTACATAAATTCAAAAGTTGTGTCTCGCATGTCTTAGTCTTTAGCTTGACCAGATTTGGTCACTGGTGGCTCCTCTTGAGCTCATATCTCTCAACGAAGTCTCGATTCCGAAGTCTGCATGATCGAAACGCCACGGATCGTGTTCCACGCTGCCGAAACAGCTGCTCTTGGCTCAAGTCAATCGAGAAAGCACAACAATCCGTAGAGCAAACCCTTCTCTACCTTTTATCCATGATGCTCAGCTGGGTTATGTTTTTTTGGGGGGTGCCACAAAGCGATCTCGAACGCTTTTCGTGGTGCTTCGCGTCAGTGGTTCGAGTACACCGTGCTTTTACAGGCTGTGGGCCATTCCAGTGAGGTCCACCCACACCCCTTCCCAAACACCACCTGTTTGGGCCTGGCATAGGACGGCCGAGAAAAGGCCAGGGGTGGTTGGTTGAAAAGGGGATGCGGCATACCGTACCTATAGATCTTCCCTCCAAAAGCCACCAGAGGAGACCTGTTGGGGTGCTGGCATAGATCTTCCAACTACGTATTTCTGCCTTTTAAACTGGTTTTATGGATGAAAAGGCATATATAAATGTTGCACAGTTGGAAGATCCAGGTATATGCCAGTCCCATGTGTCGTGTCTGGGATTTATATATGGATTTATCATTACGGATATAACATCCAGCACTGACTTCACAGGTCACCAATTGAAACCTGCAACAGGGCCTAACACCCAACCCTCCATTTCGGAGAGCTGTTGGGTTCGGTGTGGATTGAGGTAGTTGGATACGGGGTCAATGTATATCGGCAGTCCTATGCCAGTCCCAAACCGGTCGTGTTTGTTTCCTTGGTCTGATACCCCTGAGCAAAACCTCCGTCCGATTCCGAGGTGCTGCGACAGGAATCGACGAAGAAGGGATTGATGAAATTGGATGAACCACCCGTCGACGCGACCCGTTTTCGTGAGTGAAAACCGCTCGACTCAGACGGTCCCGAACCAAACCATAGGGATTGGGTGAGGCCCATCCCAGACCCCCGACCAGTGCGGAAAAACGGGTCTGGGTGGGGCGAAAGTCCCATCCGACTGCCGACTACCTCCATGAAGTCCGCACCCCCGTCGAACGTGAACGCCAAAGGGAATGTCTTCGTCCGCGGTACACTTTGGAGGGGTGAAACCCTCGGAGTTGGAGGGAGTTGTTAGTTTTCTACTACGCGCGCACGCGTCTCTTTGAAGCTCTTTCGTTCCTGAACCAAAGGACCCGAATCTGAACTGGTCAGGGGTCTGGGGTGGGCCTCACCAATCCCGATCGGTTTGGTTCGGGACCAGGATCGAAGTAGGGCTGTGAACTCACGGAGCGTCTGGGTGAACCAAGCCATACACGTGCAGTCGAAGTCACCACTGCAGTGGAGCCGCTGTCACACGAAGTCACCACTGGGTGGAGCCACTGGGATAGGATCAGGCATAGGAATCCTTTTGAACATGTTCCCAGACGCGACCCGGGACCCGAAGCCTGACAGCAGGGGTCACGCCCGTTTTTCCGCACTGGTCAGGGGTCTGGACCTTCTCACCAATCCCTATGGTTTGGTTCGGGACCAGGAAAGGGCTGTTTTCACAGAGCGTCTGGGTTCATCCTTGTTCTTCATTCCCGAAGCCGCACCAGTGAGTTGCTGTGATCACTGTATTGAAACACCAACAATCAAAGTAGGGAACCCACATAGAGGGAAACCCGGAAACCCTATAGTCTTCAGCTCCACCATTGAAAGGGTTCAGTTGACCTGGTCTTGCAGTGTAAGATCCTTTTCGTGAAACCATGGTTTTCTTCGGGATTCATGAACATCCACATCATGAGCGACCGGAGGCACGGCTTTTCGCCGTGCTGGAGACCACTCTCAGGACCTGGCTACTTCAAGTGGCCTTCTTTGCCGCGGCCTATGCCGCGGCGGCGTCTCCTTCGCAGTGGCAGGAAGCAGCTCGGCTGGAGAGGTTGTGTGCGACCGTCGGGGGAATTGGAGAACCCAGATGCGACCCTGGACCCTCCGTTCAGTAGGGGCCGTACCTCATATGGAGGGGTCCGGACCCTCAAAACCCTGCGGTTTTGAGGGACCAGTCGGCCTGTGTCGAGCGTCTGGAAAGAAAGCTTCTTCCCAGACCCGTGAAAACAGCCCTTTCCGGGTCCCTGAAAAGCACCCAAACACGACACGTCTGGGACTGCCGGACTGCCGATCAGGCCAGGGGTGGTTGAAAAGGGGTCAATGTGGGCATATATATGCTATAGATGGAGCGTCTGGGCTATAGAGATTGGTTCGGGTCCAGACCCCTCCAGAGGGTCCCGGGTCGCGTCTGGGTTTGGTGGGAAAAGCAGCAGCAGCGGACTCGAGTGAAGACCAGAGAAGAAATCGCAGCGCCCCACGAGCACCCCGTTGCGGTCTTCGAGTGACAGGTGACGACCTGGGAGGTGCTACGGGTGGTACCCAGACGCTCCTGGACCCTGATATGGAGGGGTCGGAGGGGTCTGGACCCGAACCAATCCCCATGTTTTTGAGGGACCAGTCGGGCTGTGCACGGAGCGTCTGGGTAACATCCTAATTCAAGCGGAAGTCTTAGGTGTGACAACCCTACCAGTCCAAAGACCCAGTAAAACCTTGTCTTTTACCTCGTTAAGTATTGGTTTTGTATGACCATCCCCAGTAAAATGAGGTCTTTGACTTGTAGGGCGATAGCGGTGTGAAGGCACCAAAGGACCATCCAACTTGCGCCCCCGGGCGGTGTGAACGGGCCCGTTCCCCAGTTCCGACGCCGGTTTGGACCAAGGGGGCGGCGGCCGAGTCTTGCGAAGCTGGGCGATGCATGCAATACCCAAACACGACACGTCTGGGACTGCAATATTTGCCGAACATTGGGGTGGTTGAAAAGGGGTCAATGTATGGAGTGTCTGGGATATATCATATCCCTCAGACTCCGGCCCCTCAAACGAGTTTTGAGGGCGAACTCGGAACCCTGCATGATTCACGGTGTCGGGTCCGACCCCTACCATGGAGGGTTGTTGGGATTTTTAGGGATATGAAATGCCCAGACGCTCATGAGCCCTCCTAAGTAGGGGTCCTGACCCTCAAATCCCTAGGGTTGTTTTGAGGGACCAAGAGCTGTTTGGAGCGTCTGGCAGGGTGGATAATATACAGGGAATGTCAGGGAATATGATCAATATGATCTCAGATGCTCATGGACTCTCCTAAGTAGGGGCCGCACCTCATGTGGAGGGGTCCGGACCTTCTCATCAGTCGACCTGTTTTCATTCATGGAGCATCTGTGACGTTTGGAGCACTTGTGACGTTTCCTAGAGAGGTTGAACAGCCCATCCCATTTGTACCAGTACAGGGTCCTAGTTCAGGTCTCTCAACCTCTCCTGGTTGGTCCGGAAGAGGTGTTTCACTGTTTCACCTGCGACTCCTCGCACCGGACCCCCGCCCTCTTGGAGCCACGGAGAGCCACGTCGGACACCGTGGCCTCGTCGGACGGCTCGTGGCGACCGCCGTGGCGAGCGTCCCGGCGGTCGGGTGACGGAGACAGGAAGGACCGACCCACGGACAGCTCCGACCCTCCGGACCCGACCCAAAACCCCCCTTCTCCATGAGGTGTGGGTCCTGACCTCCTCTTAGGGCATTGAAGCTGAAACGAGGAATCACGAATGGAGTTTCGGTGGATTCACCTTAGCGCAGCATTCAAAACTTGATTTCTGGAATTCTACAGTGATGTCGATCAGGTAACACAAGAATCGTTTTTTTGCGTTTGGTGACTTGCCCAGGGTGAAATGGAGCCTTCACCAACATGTAGCAGTTGGTTCGGGGCCGAACGGGTCGCGGTCGCCTCTTGGGGGTGGAGACTTTTCGTGTGTCTTACCCAGACGCTCCGTTTTCGTTCACCGCCCTCAGCCGGTTCCGAACCAAACCATAGTGATTGGATTCAAACAACCATGGTTTTAATGGTCTTTACCAAAGAACCATTGTTTTACTAAGGATTTCTACACTACACCACCAGCTCAACCGTTCTTTTAATGGTCTTTGAAGGCTAGGGATAGGGATTGGTCAGAAACCCCAGAGCCCCTGACAGCAGGTCGCGTCTGGGTTCGTCTTTCGTTGACTCTGCAGCTTCGGTGCTCGCCCCGCGCTTGCACGGAGGTGCTTGGACGGCGTGTGCGTCGTGTGTCCAGTCGGATGCGCCCAGGAGAACGACGGTGGCCAAGGACTCTTTCAAAAGTCTTTGGGGCGCGTGGGCCGGTCCATGCAACATGAAAACCCGATGGAGAAGCGCTTCGGATGAAGGGACGCGGAGCTCAAGAGTCATGGGCGGTGGAGGGAGAGTCTGGCGGGAATGGTGTGAATGAACGCCAGACGTCTTCGCGCCCAACGACATCCTAAGTAGGGGTCCGGACCCTCAAATCCCTAGGGTTTTGAGGGACCAAGAGCTGGAGCGTCCACGATCAATGAACAGGACGGCCCTGAAGACTCGGCTAGACCGTCTGAAGACCTGTTTAGGTGGTACTCATTCGGTCTTCCCTCCAGGTAACCATGGTCTAGATGAGTCAGAGAAAAAGAACACTCACTCCCCACATCTCCCCCACTCCCCGGAAAGAGTCCTGGTTCCTTGGAGTGTAAGCTTCTGGATGGCGAACTTCGGTTCTGGGAACTTCAGACTTCAGGGCGCTCACGGACGCACCAGCGCGCTGGTCGGCGAGCTGGTGCGTAGGTCGAGTGAAGGGGAAGTATGGTCAATGCACTCCGGACTGGAGGGCCAGAGGTCTTGTACCTGTTTTTGATAGGGTCATGTCATGTCCCATGTTCTATGGTACTTTGGAGGGTCCAGGTCTATTATACCTAACTGTACAGGGTGGTTGAATTTTCGTTGGGGGGGGTTCTGGGGTCAGCATCTCCAGTCCCAGACAGGTCGTGTTTGGGATTGTGAGAGTCTGCTTGAGCAGCTCTCACGTGCAGCAGTGAGTTATTTTCGGTGGATGTCTGGCACCAACAAGCTGCACGAATCAGCGGTCCACATGTTCCACCCAACAGTCCGGGACCCGTTTTTCCGAACGGGTCAGGGGTCTGGGTTGGGCCTCACCAATCCCTATGGCCCTATGGTTTGGTTCGGGACCGTATGAGTCGGGCTGATTTGAAGCTGATTCCCAACAAACGCCACGAATCACCAGACAAGCTGCGGTTCAGTTGCTTCTTCTCTTCGGGGTTTGGGAAGGACATCACCGATCGGTTCGGTGCCAAGTGGAGTGGAGACCTAAGGGGTGGTGAAGGGTGTCTATTGACCACCCCTTAGGATCTAAACAACACCCCTTGGAGTCTCCTGGAATGTACTTTTTGACGACCAGGAGTCACAGAGCTCGGGCCTGGGTGGTGTGTTTAGTCGTCCCCTTACGTGAGTGGATGTGACAGGGGCACCCCGACGGCACCCTCCATGGAGTCCGCACCCAGTCTTGTGACTGCTGGTAGTTCACCCTTTTTTGAAAAACTCCAAAAGTGTTTCTTGCTCAGCTTGGGGCGAAGGGTCACACATGTCATTGACTGCGCCATGATGACCCTCTCTCCGGCCGTAGGATCTCAGTTCTAGCCGCCATTGGGTCCAGGATCTGTTGTTGTTGTATTTCAGGTGATGTTGGTATTTTCCCATATATTGTTAAATCCCACATATACATGTCCATCCCTTAATAATCACCTCTAGACTGTAGAGTCTCTAAAGAACCTCCTGCTTTCCTTGCAGCGTCCATTCCTTCGAACGTGGAAACGGCCACGTCCACCCTTGGGAATCGGTTCCTTTTTCTTTCCAGGCTTCGCTGCGTTTCGCTGGATGTCTGTTGCCCCCCGCGTCAGGGCGGTTCCCGTACGGTTTGGAGCCCCGTGGCTTGGAGCGGCGGTCGGGCGTCGAACGTGGGCGATCCGAGGCGAGTCTATTTGATTTGCACAGCCCATAAGGCTGGGACCGAGCTGATGCGGAGACTCGGCTGCGTCCGACTGTGCGAACCGTCCGGGTGTGAGTGGGTGCGTGCGAACGTCCGAATCGGCGTCAGCGCAAGAAAGATAGCACCCGAAACCTGCCAGGTCGTTGTTCTTGAGGGCTATTGGGCCTTAACGGGTCTCAATTGGTGACCTGGTAGGTTTCGGGTGCTACTAGATGTTTGACATGTGGTTGACATGTTCCCCAGCCAACACCACGGAGTCTGGGTATCACCTCTCCCAACTACATGGTTAATGGGGGGGTACGGGGTGGCTGGCCACTTAATTTTGCCGGAATTGTATGTCTATTTATATGTGTTTTTGCATACAGATCAACTGACCGGTGTCACTGGTGAGTTCGGAAAGAATTTCATTACCACATTCAATGCTGGTGGTTGGATGTGTTGATAGATGTTGATATATACTTATCACGCATGACCTTTGAACACATACGAAAACATTTTGTATTTTCTAACACAAAGTAAACTAAGAATGGTCCCTGGCATTTGCTTTGCTTCCTGCAACATCCAGCCCATAGTCTTGTGTCATTTGTGACGCTGGTCACTGCCTCAGCAGATCTTTTATGACGATTGGTGGGGCATGATTACGAAAGCCAGCCTTCGTAGAAGGCGCCAGCTGAGTTGTGTTTGGCGAACGAAGAGTGACTAAGTAGGGGGTCTGGGGGGGGGTGGCCCGAGAAAGTACCACGTAAACTCGAAATTAGGTGGGGGAGAGGGGAAGGTTTTTGAGGTTGTGTTGGAGGTGATTTTTGAGGGGGTGGTGATGCAAGAAATGCAATTTGCATCATTTGCATCATCTGAATGGTAACGTGTAGCTGGCGGGTACAGATGCCCAGGGTAGCTACCAGGCAGTTACCAGGTATAGTACTTCAAGTTCCCTTTCCGTCAACCGCTCGATAACCTTTGCACACGCACACCAATCCACAGCTTTGAAGTTTCATGCGTGCGATACCTGGGAACAGAATTGTAGCTACCCTGGGTCCGTATAAATGCTATGTTGCTATACCTCTCACACATATATAAGTTCAAAGCACGAATGAGACTTCAAAGCTGTGGATTGCTGCACGTTTGTAAAGGTTATCGAGCGGTTGACGGAAAGGGAACTCGAAGTACTACACCTGGTAACTGAATTGTAGCTACCCTGGGTATCTATACCGTCTAGGGGTGCACGGAAGCAAGGTTTTGGAGGTGCTTTTTTGTGGTTTGAAGAAATGCAATTGTCTTCGGTTGCTTGAAGTGCTAACTAAACCTGGCAACTGAATTGCAGCTACCCTGGGTATACCTGGCAACTGCCTTGTAGCTGCCCTGGGTCCGCGCGCGCGCCTAAATCTAGGGCAGCCGGGAGCCAGCAAGTACCTGGCAACAGAATTGTAGCTGGCTTTTCTCGTTGACAAAAAACGCTGGCTTTCGTTTTGAAGCTTCTCAGGTGGTACATGCTTGTTCATGAAAGAGTTTGAGCGTGACGGTGCTTAGACGGGGCAGGTAGATGTTGGTCATTGAAGCTAGAGTTTGCAAAAATCTTTCAGTGCACTAATTTAAGTTCGACAGGTTCTGTAAGTTCTTAAGTCAGATTATGCAACTTTTACTTTTCAATCCAAGGAAAAGTAGTACGTAGTAAAAGTTTTTGCAAAAATGAAAACTTCTTACAAACAATGTAACAACGTAGAGAACTTACTTAGCTTTTTCGATGTTGCGAGTTTATACTTGTTCAAAAACTGTTCAAAACAAATTTTCTCTGTGTTCTATTTAACTGCTTTTCTTGATTGCTTTCAAAGGGCTGTTTTCCTCTAGAGTGCTGGCGGACCATCCGTTCGAGTTGAATGTTAGAACTTGTTGGTTCACTCTTGTTTTGCGCAATGCCTATATACAGCGGCTGCTCAAGGAGCCGCCCTCGTATATGTATATACAGAAAGCACAGGCTCCATGTGCAGCAAGACAGGCAGCTGAGGCAGCGCGCGTGCTGAGCAAACACTTGACCCCCGCAGTTGCGAAACAAAAAACTTGTCCTCAATCAATCAGCCAAACTTAAATCTTGACTCGTTGGCAACTCAATGAGCCGCTTGTGAGACACTGAATGGTATTTCACAGAACTTATCACATGACAACCAACATATTCGGTATTGTCAATTTGGAGCCAAACATTTATATACATAGAAGAACTGATAACTTTGCAATTTATACATGTTTACATTGTATCTATTTTACATGTTTTATACATTTCTATACCTTGTGTTTCCCTGGTATGTGAAGACCATTGGCTACAGGTATACCTATTGCTCAGCAAGCTCGATATTTGGATATCTTGGCACAAACTTTTCCTTGTTGATGAGTTGAGGGAGTTTGGCATCAACCGCATTCAACAATCAACCAAACCAAGTGCATTAGATTGGGACTTGTGACATAGATTGCAAGCAAATCAGTTGCATGATTGTTGAAAAGGAGTTTATAGAAAGTTTTTTTCGCAAACTGAGCACCTATACGGGGCAATTACTGTACTTACTGGAAAGGAGTTTTTCTAAATAGAAAGTCGTAGAGTGGTGTAGCTGCCCATTGGGCCGCCAGGCGCATGTGTATACATGTGCCTTTGTGTACCTGGCCGGGCCATGTATGTTTTTGGCCAAAGATACCAGTAAAACAAGTGTAAAGCAGTTTTCACAAACAGCAAAAATCTGCAAACCAAAATACCTAGCATTTTTTGAGTTAGTTTTACTTACAAAACTTTTAATATTACTTACACATAACTTATACAAGTTAGTAATGCAATGTCAAAATGCGCAGTTTGTAGTTTTGTAAGTTACCTTACAAGTTTTCTATGTGGTGTAATTGCTATAACTAACTTGTTCCAAACAACCAAGAACCATCCAGATTTGTTGCAAGATTTCGTATGACTTTAGTTGACTTTATCTGACCGTGCTTGTAAAATCTTGAGGTACATATATATATATATTCATAAACATGTTCAAAAACGTAGAAATACTTCTTGGCCATATCTGGCACCTTGTTTGTTTGGATCGCTTCTGCAGCTGTTGGATTGGTATGGGCTAGTGTATTTTTGGACTCAGGATGATTCAGGCATTGCACTCAAAATATTTTGTCATATCTTGTCATCTACGGACCCTGCAACAAATGCTGAGTGATCACCCGTGTTGGAGCGAATCTCGGAGACAGGCAAAGGTTGCAAGCCTTTTGACCCACAAGACAAGAGCTTTACCAGTGCAGAGGCTTGCCTCAGCTCATGCTCCCAGCAATGCGAGCCTTCTGCTCCCAGCAATCGTGAAAAAATGCTTTCCAAGTCCAGGCACAAAGCCCGTACAATGAAGCAGCTCAGTGAGCCCCATCACTCACGCCTGTCGGTTTGCCCAATCGCACAGAAAGCCGTGGTGCGCGGTACTTCAGCGCCTTCTGGTGTCACAAGCGCGTCCAGCTTCAAGCGGGCAGAAGACCTCTCACCTCAAGTGTACTTTGCGTATACTATACTATGTCTAGCAGTGAGCTCAAGATTGGCCTGGGGACGACAGTTTTCAGGGGCACAAGGGCAAGAACGATCACTGCGAATAAGCCTTTCCCAGGAACACTGACTTTAGCGCATTGCGCCTGCATACTTGACCCTGCAGCTACCTTTCTCCCGTGGTGCCTTTGTGAATCTTTGCGTAAGTTATCTTTTTTGTTGATGTTTGTGGGCTAGTCTGCTGCATCCTGCTGCCCAAGAGCAGAAGCGAACTAACATTAACTAACTCCTTGCGCCCTTACACGTAGTTTTTGGCCGCCCCTCCCCTTGAATGGTCCAAGCGCCTGAGCTGCCTAGCTGGGTGGCCTGCTAGGCTGTGCAGGTTTCGCCTGTTCTGCCTAGCACTGCAAGAAAAGGTCGCATGGGCAAAGATGAGGAGAGTGATGTCAGAAGGGGACATCTTTAAACGCTTGCTTTTGGCACACGATCTCTTATGATGCAGTATGATGCAGTGTGTTTGGACATGTTTTGATGTGTTTGGTAGTGGCCACTACGAACCCAGACATACATACATACCTATTATTTTGTAGGTATGTATGTTTCCCCAGACATACATACATACCTTTAACATACA